CACCCACACATCAGAAACAAAACCCTGGCCAGGGGGCGCGTATCCTGCCGAAGAAGAGCCACCCCGCCCCGCAACCTCAACCCACCAACAAAAGCTCCCCCCCCCCCCCTTCCTTCATGCTTGTGGAGCTACTTTAATTTATATTCAGGTGCTGAGTATACGTGTGTGTGACAAGTGAGCGTGTGTGTGTATGCGTGCGTGCGTGTGTGTGTGTGTGTGTGTGTGTGTGTGTGTGTGTGTGTGTGTGTGTGTGCGTGCGTGCGTGCGTGTGTGTTGTGTGTGTTGTGTGTATTGTGTGTGTGTTGTGTGTGTGGCGCGCCCGCATGTGTATGTAATTCATGGCTGCGCATACCTTCTAATCTCACCTCCACTATCACCACACACACACACACACACACACACACACACACACACACACACACACACACACACACACACACACACACACAAACACACACACGCCTCCCTCCCCCTCCATCTGCGCTACAGGGGAAGAAGCCGTCGGACAAGAGAATCCCGCCACTGTACGGGTCATATCCGCCACGACACAAGACCACCGCCCCTGCGTCCCCTGGCCGTCGTGCTGCTGCCGCTGCTGCCGCGGACATGTCCATCCTCGCAGCACCAACGCACGCGGGTCGGGCGACAGCCACCACCCAAGACGGCAGCGCCGCGGCCAACCACAACGGCAGCACAAACGGGAGCGACAGCGGCTACCCTGCTGTAACCGCCACCACGCACGTTTCTGTGTATTCGCCCATGCCCTCATCGTCACCCGCGCCATCGTCGTCGACATCAGCGGCAACGACAACAACACCATCCCCAATTGCACTTGTGACGCCCGTGCCATTGCAGACAGCGCCCGCAACCGTCGCACCAGCCATCACCTCCACCGCCACCGCCATTCCATCAACGACGACAACAGCAACATCGTCACTCGGTGTTGGCCCCGCTGTACGGAGTAAGACGACGCCTGCAACGACACGCGGACGCACACGCACGTCACGCACTGCCAACAAGACAGAGCAGCGGACAACACCAACCACAACACCAACCACAACAGCAACAACAACAGCAACAACAGCAAAGTCTGCCAGGGCAGCAGCAGCAGCAAAGAATGGCGCTGGTGGTGCTGGTGCTGGTGACATGGCAAAGGAAGGAGAGGCAGAGAGCAAAGAGGGCAGGGACGGTGATGAGGAAGTTGTGGACAACTCGGACAATGCCTGCTCAACATGCGGTCTTGGTGGCGATCTCATCTGCTGTGAGGCCTGCCCTCGCGTCTTCCACGCTTACTGCGCGTGAGTTTGTCTGCACTTGTGTGTGTGTTTGAACTTGTGTGTGTGTGAGTTTGTCTGCACTTGTGTGTGTGTGTGTGTGAGTGCTTATACTTGTGTGCGTGTGTGTGCTTGTACTTGTGTGTGTGTTTGTGTGAGTGCGTGCGTTTCAGTCGGCTGCATGCACAAGCATGTGTGGCTCTGTCCACCACCGTGTGAATGACGACTACCTGGCCTCGCCGCCTCCCTCGCGCCTCATCAACTGCGTCCACACCATTGTATCCCACAGGAATCCGCCCGTTGATCTGGAGAACACGACGGATGACAAGTGGTTCTGCCGCGTCTGTCGCCCGCCATCGGTGCGTACGCACACGCGCCGCTGCCAGTCATTATCGCGGTCGTCGTGATCGTGGTCATGGTTATGGTTATGGCGGTGGTAGTCGTGACGTTTAGGATGCTCTGAAAAGTGTCGCTTAGCGCGTTGACGATTGCTTGCACACCCATCCGGTCACACACACACACACACACACACACACACACACACACACACACACACACACACGCTGAAACACACCCTCTCTCACACTTAAATACACTCTTGTCCCCACCCCTCTCCCCTCTCGAGCAGGACACGCCGCTTGGCCGTCGGGAGGGTGCCGCGACGAGCGGCGCGTATCTCGCCATTGTCAACGGCCTACACCGTGCCCCGCCCATCCACTTCTACATCCCAGACACCATCCTCCAGTCTTTCCCCGCCGAGCGTGCGTTTCGTTGTGGTTGTGGTTGTGGTTGTGGTTGTGGTTGTGGTTGTGGTTGTGATTGTGGTTGTGGTTGTTATTGTTGTGAGTGATGTGGCATGGTGTACGGAGTCGGAGATGTTCGTGTTGGACGCGGTGCTTTTGATCTGCACGAATCGCACGCTCTCACGTCACTTTGTAACACACACACACACACACACACACACACACACACACACACACACACACACACACACACACACACACACACACACACACACACACGCACGCACGCACACACATGTGCAGTTCGAGCGAAAGTTGCGATGAATTCGTCGACGCGGCGCACGCGCAGGAATAATGTTCCACCACCCTCGGATTTTGTCTGCTTCCGATGCGTCCAGTACGTGATCACAACATGGGATGCTGATGCTGTTGTTGTTGCTGCTGTTCTTGTTCCCATTGTTGTTGCTGCTGTTGCTGCTGTTACTCAATATACGTGCACCACACTGCCGTCAACTCACTCGTTCCTCTTGGTGCAACATGCGCACCTTGATGTTACCTCCCCTCCCATCTCCCCCTCTGTTAGACAATGTCGCCCGGACAACAGCGCAAAGTGCTGCGAGTGCAACACGATGTTCCACTACAACTGCGTCTCACCACCGCTGACACATGTCGGCGCAACACAGCCCTGGCGCTGCCCGCTCCACCCGCCCGTGAGTGCATGTAGATGTGTCTGTGTGTGTCAGTGCATGCGTGCGAGTACGTGAACGTGCACACATACGCCTTGCACTGCTTCCTTCTTCTCTCTGGCGTCATCACACACTCATTCATATACACATACGCCAACACACACACGCACACACGCTCGCGCGCTCACTCTCTGCCCGCCTCCCACCGCCCGCCCCTCTGTGCGTGCATGTCATCCTCCCTCTCCAATACAACAGGAGCGGCACAATCGACGGTTTCAGCAGGCGAAGATGGGGCTGCGCGACTTTGAGCCGTGGATGTACACGCACGACGTCCCGCTCCACTTTCTCAGCAAAGTCGAGAAGTACGCTGCACCCACACATGCTTTGGTGCCGTCCTGTTTTGTTGCTTGTTTTCAGTTGGTTGGGTGTGACAGCGCACCAACATAGACACCACGCATGTCTCACACACCTGCTTTCTGGCTTCTGCTCGCCTACGTGTATGTGTATGTGTGTGTGTGTGTGTGTGTGTAGCGAGCGAGCACTTCAGCAGAAGGCGACGATTCAAGAACAGCAGGCGGTAAGTGAAACCGACCCGATTGTGCTGTTGTGGTTTGCTCTCGATGAGCGTGGCGTTGCTGCTCGTATGGTGCTCACAACCCACTTCCCACAAGCCACCACAACAGCAGTATTACACACACACACCCATTTTCACACAACCACATGAACGAACACACACACACACATACATGAACACAATACTTACTTGTCCCACCTTATCCCTTCCCCATAACGGCGTGGTTGCAGTTTCTTGATTGCCTGTCGTCAATGCACACGTCCACCGCTGTCCCCGCAACCATCATCACACACCCGCCACAAGACGTAGGCAAACACTTGTCCACCATCCATGGGGTTGTGTCTGCGTGCGTGTGCGTGTGCCTGTGTCTGTGGGTCTTGTGTGTGTGTGTGTGTGTCTGTGTCTGCGCGCGCGTGTGTGTATGTGTGTTGTTTATGGCGCTATCTCATACCCTGCCACTTGTGCACTCGATAACGCCCAATGCCTTCGCCCCAGGACGATGAGTCTTCATCGCCATCATCATCATCTGCTGTCTCTCTCATGCCGGTGTGTTGTGCTGCATGCTGAGCTGAAGTTGCTTCGTGTCATTTCAACTTCGCCTTTTGCAATGTGCCCGTTTCTGTTGGCACCTGCATTCACTCACACAACCTCATACACACAACCTCATACACACAACCTCATACACATAACCTCATACACACAACCACTCACTCACACACACACACACACACACACACACACACACACACACACACACACACACACACACACACACACACACACACACACCACACCATCTCGCCCCCTCTATCCAGATTGGCCGCGCGCTGACGGGCGATGTTGGCGCCATGTCGGACGGCGAGCGTGCAGCGTGCATCGAGAGCCTTCGTCGCGTTGTGGTGAGGTCATGATGGCTGTGGCTCATGCAGATTGGTGTTCCCAAACGAAAACGTGCACTTGTTGATCAGCATATTCGCAGTCAAACGCAAGCGTTCACGCGACGTGCATACTCACACCTACCCACACACATGCACACACACACACACACACACGCCTCCTTTATACTTTTACGCCTTTTCGCGTGCGTGACGGTGCAGTTTCGGCAGGCGTCGATGGGCCGTGGCGCCGGATTCCACATCCAGCCGCATCAGGAGGCGTATCTGATTGATGCTGAGTCATGCGTAGCGGACGCACGCGCCCTTGCGCAGCTCGTCAGCCTTCCTTCCAGCGAGGAAACAACCGGGCCATCCCTGGTGTGTGTGTGTGTGTGTGTGTGTGTGTGTAAGTGCTTGTGTGTGTGTGTGTGTGTGTGTGTGTGTGTGTGTGTGTGTGTGTGTGTGTGTGTGTGTGTAATTGTCTGTGTGTGTGCGATTATTTTCGTGCTGTTATTGCCAAGTGTGTCCGGACACGATGTTTTACGTTGCCGCTCATACTGCTTGCATTTGATTTCCTGCTGCACATCAACACAGCGACTGACATCAACAGGCGAACGAGTTGCTCTCCCCGAAAAGAACGAGATTAAGTACGTGTGTTGTGGTGTGTGTGTGTATGTTCAACCTGCTGACCTGGGTGCTGAGCTGTGGCGGCTTCAACAACTGCCTTGGCATGATCTCACACTTGCACTCACGACCGTGCATGTATTTGTTTCCCTTGGCACTGCGCACCGCCGCACCACCGCATGTGTTCTTGTGTACTGCTGCCACGCTTTCAGGGTCGGCTTTGA